CGCGTTTCCGAGCTTGTCCTCCGATTAGGGCATCTGAATTAACCGGTCATGTCTCAGCCTGCACCACTTGTGTTGGAAATGGTTCGTGAACAGGAGCAACGCAATCGATCTCGAAAATGCTCCTCGTGTATGGCGGCCTGAATACTATTCTACTGTTGCTCGACTGCTTTGCAGTAATTACGTGCAGCGTTACTGTTTAAGGCACCCAGTTGGTTGTGCTTGACTGAGGTTGAAATAACTATCCAATGGCCAGTCGTTGGAAAACGTTTGTACGCTTCGCGGTGTACGTCATGGAAAAACGATATTGTATCAGTGTATAATCAGATTCTATGCGAGTGCCTAGGGAGGAGCGACAATTGCTGATCATGGCATGTTTTAGTGTGGCTCGTTCTGTCTAGAATAAAATATTTATTTATTTATTTATATTGCCACTTCATCGAAATCGCGTGATAATGTGGTGTGTTTGAGTTCATCGCTAGCCAGCTGTCGGAGTATGCAATGCGGCTGCTCGGCGTTCACTGTGCCTGAAGGCCGCGCTGATAAGAAACATTTGGTGCTCAGCGCACAACCGCAACAAATATCTAGCCATCATCCGTGCATGCAGAATTGAACCCAAACGTATCGCCTACTGGAGGATCTAAAGAGCACAAGCCATGTATTTGGCATTCAAATCCATAGCACCTATAATTATATCCGAACTAGCAGTGCCACGAGGCATGCTATTGCCTGTTTGGTTAAAACTGTCCTTGTTAACTTCAGGGCTGCAGTTGTTTGGGGCGTAACCGGAAAAGAACGAACCGACCATCTATCGCTGATTTGTGCTCTAATGTTGGTTCATGCCGTCGATCGGACTGCCCACAAACAACTGCTCTCGAGAATCCAATCAACAGCGTTGGAGCTTTGGACACTATCCGCTGCGGTTTTTGTATCAGCATCAACGGTTGCAGGTAACCCTCCTCAAGAGAACAAGCCCAGCTTAATGTGTTTAACAAACACGTAAAAGTCATTTAAACCAAGTCAAAATGAGTTTTACACCCATGTGGGTGCATTTTCGGCAATATACACCAAAACTGCGGACAGTATAAAACAAAGCATCAGTTAAACAGTACAAAAGGTCATGAGAAATAAAAGGCTGTGTATTTTCACTCAAGTAAACGGTCTCGCAGCTAACGTAACATTGCTTTTGGGTTTACTAACAAGCGTGACAAATAAGATAAGATGGAGTTGCGATACCATGAAGCCCGAAAGATGGAAGCTCAAGTCCGACCGCCGTGTAGAATAGTATGTAGTGGTTGAGAGGGGTTTGTATAGAATCTTGGATGAACATTTTAGGCAAGCGTTATAGTGCTTGCTAACTGTGAAATCAACGAGAGCTTTTTCGATCAATCCATAGCATCCTGAAACGAATTTTAGTGAGCGCACAAGAGTATAATCCTGAAGAATTTCGGAGGAATGACAGGGGAACAATAGCGCACCCATCGCTGCTGGTGCAGTGGCCACTGTAACCAATTTACTTCTATAACTCCTTCTTTGTTAGGAGTCAAGGTATTGTGAAGTGGTTGGTTATCTTGCTGCGTTATTTTATACTTTGAAGGTGCTCGGCCCATGTTTTATGTTGGGGCCACGCCACAAAATTTTCCATTATTAACTGGGCCGCCTTGCAGTTTGCGGATGCCGAGGCGACGTAGCCCAAAAAATATTCGCAATTATCCACTGTGCATCCCACTTTATTGGACAACACAGCCGAATGTAATTTGTCTTACTGATGCCGTTATTTTTTTCGTCTGTGGCCGTACGTTGTTGACAAAGTGTTGACTCCCTGACCCTGAACGTCCAATCTGAGCTTTTAGATGTTACGATAAATGTCCCTTACCTCCTTCTTATCGTTCTATATTCCTTAGATCGTTGTGTATCGCCGAAGCACCAGTTTCCATTATCGATGTACTGCTGTTGATTTTGATGGTGTCTTTTTGGGTCTATCGCTGTCCAACTACCGGAGGACACCTAGTGAACCTGGATAACCATTGTGCAAATGGGCAGTGCTGGCCTGAAACGGCCCGTTTTTGGCGCGCAGCTGAAATAAGTCTCACCACTATCCATGCGTTTAAAGTTTAATCCCAACTTCCAATTTAATTAAGTATCTGAAGTGACGCCGTTGCGTACTTATATCTGCAAACCAAGCTATGCTTGAGCATATATCACTGCGAAGTAACGTGCCAACTATGTTTTACTTGGCCATCCATGGGTTTCAGAATTGCAATAGTCGTGGACATAAACGACGATAGCTGACCTACAGCGTTAGCGCTGTCTCGTGCGCCAGTTTTGTTTGATTTCGCCTAGTGCTGCACACAGACGGCTTCTCACGGTCATCTAAACGACAGCCATTGCCCAGGTTATGATCGATGTCCACACTTTCTTGTTCTGTGGTTGCTGCATCCTCGTCTTCTGATGGGTGTAATCAGTACCAAAAGGACAGACTGCGTATAGTTACTGCAGCAACCGCATTAGGATCATTGACCGTAGTTTCGAACAGGTAACACATGTCGACACTCAGTGTGTCCAACGTGTGTGCGAGTGCAGCCTGTTGATCTATTTATCTGAGTGCAAGCTTTGGACGTCGCCAAGGAAACGAAACCGCGTCTGCAGCCGGAATGTTGGTGCAGATGGCACAGCCTCAAAAGTACGACTACTGCCGTCAATTAAACTGGGAATTGTAGGAGAAAAATAGGAAATGGGGTAAGGAGGAGCTTAAGGGAAATAAGTGGAAAAAGGAAGCGATCATAAGCATTAGCAATTTTTCGCTTCTCCTCATCCTGTACGCTTCGGGACTTGACATTCATGTGATACGATGATTTGCCTACTTCCATGATCCATTGAACAAGCTGGGTGACAATTTCTATCTGCCTTCAAAACCACTTATACAAGACTGATCAATGGTTAGGGGTTAGGCTAAAACTCTTACAATCCCTTTCGAATGTTGATGAGAATTCGATGACCCAGTTCCTATGAAACTTATCCGTGAAAGACAACAGGTTACCTTTCATAGGCTCACAGTTCGATTTGTACTAAAGCCGAACACTGTCTCTGATGCTAGGAGAACACTGCCCAGCGATGATTGGTTTGCTCGCATTCGCCTCAAGCCTAAAGGCCTCTGGTCAGAGGGATGTAAACCCGCCAACTCCCACCTGCGGCTGGCCGTGGTCGTAAGTGCACAGCATACTACGGTCAGAAAACACATGTGGTGTTTAAATATTCAAACGCTACGCATGACAGACCTCCGGTTGTGATCCCAACGGGTACCTGCCGTCAAATTTCCGAGCTGGACTTGCTCCCCATCGCCTTACGCGTAATGCTTTTGAGTCTAAGGTTAGTGATATGGCTGGCATATCGAACAAAACCCTTCTCTCGGAATGAGTAGTCAGAGGGTGTCATCCTCTAAATCCCGTCCATATTGTTACTCCCTCCTCTTGGTTTTCTCTCACGCGAGTTAATTGACACGTACTATTTCTCCAAAATACGCATGCTAGATAAAATTCGTGAGAAATCTTCGATTCCGTGGTCCCGAATCTGCCGGCAATGACTACATTCTTCCCGGCTGTGCTGATACTGTGTCAATAAAAAAGATTGCTGGAGGCAGTCTGCTCGAGTGGATACTAGTGAACAGTCGCATTTCTGCGGTTCGACTTCGCACTTCTATTGAACTTGTAATTGTAATGTTTTCGTCCCAGCTGATCAACCTCTGAAGATAATGTGCCTCCCTTTCCGTCTACACCCTCATTGACTGCATTTCTGATGGTATGAAAGAGGAATTCTATCATCAGCTCTCATTTCTTCTCCGTGTGGCTTAAAGCCCATTGATGATGGTGACATGTTAACCGCCTTTCGTACGCTGAACAACAACTAGGGGACCGTTTCGGAGTCGATGTATGCAGAACAGACAATAGCGAACAACTGCAACCATGGGCTGACCACAATCTTAATACTAGTAGCACTGTTCCGCAGCACAGTCGGTGCGCGGACCATGGTTGTTGAAATAAACCATACTTTATAGACATATGTGCCCCTCTTCCTCCTAAACCTATGTATGGGCGACGCCATTTGAGCTGCTTAAGTCCTGTTGTTTGCGAACCGGCTAATCGTTTCTCTCTGTGTGTTTCATATTCTGACACCGCATCTAGTTGCATAAATTGCTGGGATCACCAGTCGATTGCGTGGCAAACGGATTTGAGGTAAATTACGAATGGCTGACTCGAATCGCTATACGTCGTCTTGTTATACAAGTCCTCGACATCTGACACATCGGTGGTAACATCCTCTGTTAGAATTGGTGCCATTGCTGAATCAGTGGCATATTTGCGCATATGTGAACCATACCTACTAAATCTTACTAATTTTCTCCCAGTTTCCATTTGATTACTTTTACTATTATTCTTTTGTATTCTTTTTCACTGGTGGCGTTTTTATTATTGCATGGCGTAGTTCCCGCTCCCTTTTTAAACCTCACCCTCTTATACTGTCCCTAGTTGTTCACCGAAGTAATAATACCTGAGTTCATTACCCCCTAATTGTGTTACACTTTGCTCGTTGTTTTCGGTTGTATTCCAAACCGCTATGTCATTTCCCCTTGAGATACACCAAAGCACCCACCACTAGCCAAACAACCTGCTTGCTCGTATCCTAGCTCTCCGTCTTAGCTAGAGCTCCATCTTACCTCTATCCAACATTCACTACAGGATACCGCGGTATGTTAGGCGGTGAATCGACCAAAGACCCGCGTCTGTTATCCACTTGCTTCGGAGCTGGCGCACATTTTACTATTAACGCTCATAGTTATCTGGCGTTCGAACTAATTCTCAGCTAACATACTCAGCTGCAGTAATGACTTATACCATTTGTTGAAACGACTCGTGTACCTTGCTGTGAAGAATTGGAGCCACCTAAGAATTATTTCACTGTTGTTTTGGAGTACTGACCGATTGCTTGTTGTTGTCCCAATATAGCTTACTTAGACAGAGTACCCCGGACGATTCTAGCGTGGACGTCGACTGGATATTGGTATTGCCTCCTTGGGACTCCCTGCCACATTGGTCGACCGCTTTGAAAGGTTTCGGAAACTACACAGCTCCTACTCGGATGCTGCCTTGGGCGCACTTCTTCCATTTGCCCAGCTTAGCACAGGTCATCCCTGTAATGGAGTTTGAAGATTTTCGTATCAAAGGTAATTAGTGGCCATAGTCTGTATGAAACCGTTCTAATCTGTTTAGATGTAGTAAGGTACTTTTTCTGTTCCGTATTTTCGTTTTGTACTGCTTCGATGGCGATTAGATCAGACCTGGTGCGTATTTGTTTCTGTACCCACGGACCCGCGCGCTAGTGATGTAACCGATTGCGCTACAGAGGTAATATTTCGCTGGACTCTAGCAGCTCATGCCACTGAGCCATGGGGAGCGGAGTCAGACCGTCTGTGCTTGCAAGCTAACTGTGATCTAGCGCAACCTATCCTCCAATGCCATGCATGTTCCTACCACTGCAGAGGACGGTGGCAGGCCTCCGAGGTTGCGGGTTTCACAACACGGTAACTGTCCGCATAGCATTTGAAGACTGTGAGGGCGAATCTTTTAGATTACTGATGAGTGGGAGGATCCTTTGATGATATTTTACTCGTTCCTCCCAGCTGCTCACAGGCCAGATTGGTCTAACCCCAATCCGAGCTCAACCAGCCAGTCACATGAGATTAAGGTTAGTTCCAGTTCGTGTTGAGTCCAGTCGACTTTGGGATTTGTTGCCTCAATTCACAGTTAGGCGGCTGAAGTAAATATTCGGATACTTCACGTTGTTCGAATTGTTCCTCGTGTTGTTCTGCTTAACCTTCAGACTGTCGTACTTGGTAATTGAATCTGTTGGCTTATTCTCTGCTGTTGTGCCACCCACATTTGCGCCTCTTACAGCTTTGCTTCTGGTGAGTTAAATTAGCGCTTTATCTTCATCGTTCGTGCTAACGTATTGCAGCTCACAAACTCATTCTATTCTCTATACCCTCAAACAATACCTGAAATTCCTAGTCAAACTGGTATCTGGATGTTTACCGGTACTAGAACTATGCTGTCAATGGAGCCATCGTCCGTGCTTCTGTTGAGGTTTCCGCTGAGCGTACAGATTACCTGGTCCAACTGCGCAAACTGGCCAGCTCCGAAGGCTGCTATAAGCAGGCTCCCTCAACACCATCCCCGCGAAATTTAACGTACTTCTTTCTTGGGTCCAACTGCACTCTGATGACAGGTCTCCGTACTCGATCAGTCCGGCGCCGTCGTTGCATTTTCGGCTCTTCTAGAACTTCTGGGTGAGGTGCATCCGAAGTGTTCTGAGTGTTTGGTGGCTTATCGAAACTGTCCAATAAGATATCTAGCGGTAACAGTCGATTACTAGTTCATTGCAGCTGATTAGCATGCCTTATCTGGTTCAAAGTACCCACTTTGATCTCATAGAGTACCCGACCAAGTGTTCTCTGGATCGATTCTATCACCCACTGATTACTTCGCACGCGATAGTCTCTAAACAGAGCACTTGGTCCGAGGAAAATTGACGTGCTTGAGCTCTGTGTCGCTCATTATAGCACCTTTTGATTTGCTGGTTCCTTTCTTGCGGGATAGTACGCCTCGGAAGCAGCAAGGAATTCACACTACCGAGCTTTCTTCTCATTAATGCCTCTGCTGGCGACAATTGATTTGGCATCTGGGGGGTTCGAGGTTCCTCGATACACTAGCAGGAAAGCGACAAGTATCTCCTTCGTAGTTACTTGCCTTTTCATCATTAGTACGGATAACCTGCTCCATTTGCGCTAGCTGACCGACCGACTTCCCAGATCAGAAGACAATGGCCTCAGGCGAAAACTGTATTGAACACCCAGCAAGCTGTACATACAATCAAATGCTGCGGTCAACTAAATAGTTCATAAGAGCATGACCTATCCCTTGAGTTCAGCAACTATTCGTTGCCTGATAATGCACTTTTTGGTTGCCGAGGTAATATGCTCATTGGCAGGCTTCAATATAGGTCGTCATCATTTATAGCGTTCAAGGTGAAACGTCATCATTTACGCGCTCTCATTGGTTGGCCAATAAGCTTCGGGCTGCGTCAGGGTCAAACTGTTCCGGGTTAATGGCGAAGGGAGGAGACTCCGAAAGCTGTTATGGGAAGGCTCCCTTAACAGCTTTAACGAAGCGATCAAGTTCCAATGATCCATTTGTTTTTCGTACATCTTGGACTATTATACTCTCTACTGTCGTCATAGCTCCGCTATAACTGGCATTGCTTCAAATTAGAATGTGTTAGCCAACATCGGATCTATGACTCTGATATGCTATTCATTTTTATATCTTGCATAAGCAGTGGATTACATCCTGCCCTGGAAATCAAATGACCTATCTCGGTTTTCTACAATATATTTTATGCTCTCTTTACAACTGTCAAATTCTCTTACATTCACCGTGCTCATCACTAACCGTCATTTTCTGCTCATTTCAGTCTTGCCTACATTCTCTCCTTGCGGGAAAATCGATTTGACCTTACATTTATTTAGATCTTTCGAAGAAGATTCCATTTACCGCAAAAACGAAGTTCGATTTTGCACAGAGTCCAGAAGAGCAGCTTACAAGGTTGGTTGACCTAAAAGTACATTGAGTTTTTTCTGCACACTCTACGCAACCATTGTTGACAACCACTGCCACCTATTTCTGTATATTTCGCTTTTTGATCGCTATGAGGTTTGCATCCTATCTAACTAGGTACTATGTATGTAGTAACTCCTTTGATGGGTCGACATTACAAGCCTAGCACTGCTTCACTGTTGTCATCATTTAATATGTTGGCTAAAAGGGAGAAATACTTAAGTTGTTGTACCGCAATACGACTCAATCAGATGGTCGTAAAATATAACACCATTTGTTACCGGCAAATCGGTCTTGGGACTTGAGCAACTCCTAGCGCAGCCGGGCCAATCCAAAAGTCAAAGCCGGAAGAGCTAAGGTGCTATTTAAACATGGTTAGACAACAATTTAATAACGAACTGCAAACAGTTTCAAGACCAAATGTGTACAATAATTCGGCTCTTAAATGCAGCGTGCCGTCAACAGCAATGGACAACAAATGAGCACAGTGAAGCGAAGCGGTTCTAATGTCAGCGTGGTTTTAAAGGGAAGTGATCAATCGTCAATCGATCAGCCAAGGAGCAGTGCACATGGAACGCGGGCGCGAGGTGCAAGCGATGCAAAACGGTTAAACTCTTGTGGTTAATCAAAGTCCAAATGTAAATGAGAACCAAAATAACTGAGGTGTTATCATGCAAAGTCCAGTAAACAATCAAGGGGTAATCATTGGTCATTTTTGCTGTCAATCAATAGGGAAAATCTCCAGATGCGTTGAGCAAGTTAATTTGTCCGTTACACCATTCATCCTGATTGAGCATTTGTCGTGATCATGAATGGCTAAATGGAAGATCATTTTGAAGCACTCGTTGCGGAGTGATTGCATTCTGTGCATGCTGCCATGTTGGGCTTCTTCAGTGATCTGCACTTTCTCCTACTGCTCTCTGTTGGTAATGGAGGCCACTCCGCGCACGCCGTTGATCCGCACGAGCCGTACAGTTGGCAACTTTAAGTAGAACTGCTTTTGCCTGTCATACATACAGCGCGTGGTTGGACCACATGCACCAGAAAACCCTGTTGGAATGACTCTTCCAAAGCGTATGCTATGTGACATCTGGCTGGTTCCGGCCTACTCTCCCACCAGGCGGACATCCAAGTTGTCCGATGTTGCAAGGTCTCACCACGGTCCCGAACCACAATAGTAGCATCCCTCATTCTGGTAGATGATGCAACAAGTTCTCGACTCCTTTGAGTTGTTTGAGCTGATGCAGTCAATGTGGAGCAGGTAGGAGGGAAGAAAAAGTCCAAATGTCAATGATAACATATTTTAATTATCCATCCAGGTGTATGTCGCAGCAGTGATAACTCTTGTCTGGTTGGATAATCACTAATGCAGCACGAGAGCCACCTCATTTATGCGGTTCATGATACCCCCCAATGCGAACAGGAGAATGATGCGTTACTAACCGAAGCTCTGTCACAGTGTACTTTTAACTGCAGTCTGAAACTGCTTCACCAGGCCATCGACTCACGCCTTTGTATTTGTGCTAACTACCGCAACCAGATGTCTGCCGGCGAGTGCGTCTGGGACTTCCGTTGGTGACATAACTGGAACTGGACTTGTCATTCTCATTGTGCATTTCACTGCCGTAGTCCACATCGACTCCGGAAACCCTCTATTTTCGGTAAATCCGATGTTTTGACGAGGTTGGGGACTACACCTCATCCACTGAATTGAATCATTGATGTAAATAGATGAGCGTATTCGAGTCCGTTTTGTCAACCAGTTGCTCCTTCCGATTTTGGTCATTAGCCTACTTTTGCACTGTTGTCACTTTTAAGCAGCAATTACACAGAAGAGGAAGTTTGACTTATCCGGTAATGGTGGAAAGTCGACTTAACACATCCAACCAAACGCACTAACTGCTGATGGCACCTGCCTTTCCCACTTCATGCATAGTTGCCATCTGCCACCACTTTCGAGTCTTCTTGAAGTTCCTAGTTGGACCCTGCTGCAGGATATTGTGGGCACCCTGAAGTTGGTTATACAACAAGATCATCTTTTGTGCTTCCCGGAAATTAACGGTGGTTTAAAAAGTCCTGCCGGTCTGGATGTACCAGGTAAGGCAAATAAGTGGCGTTATAAAACCTCATCACTGCTCTTTGGTGTCGATTCCAGTCCACATTCTTCTCTTTTCTATTGTTCTTCACTGGTGGCTACGGTTCCGCCTAGGATAAATGAAGTTAATCACGAGTTCCTGGTTTATGAGACAGCTTAGTGCTCAAGGGATTGGTCACTTCTATGGAGCAGAACCATTAACTCAAGCGGACACCCTAACTTATGGTAAAAATAGATGGGAGTAGTCTAGGTCGACGCATAACCTTGCACCAATGTGCGCAAGCACGGGAGAGTGACTAGTTGGTTCCACAAAGACTCGTTTGGGTCCGAATACCTTGAACCCGATATGTTTGGGGTTTTGGTATATATTTTCCAACATGGTCAGTTTATGCCTTTGTGGCAAGCGTAAACTATAGTTTTATTTTTGACACGTTTGTACGTTAGTTACTCGGAATGGTCTGTAAGGAATTAACAAGATGATAAGGCACCTAACCCCCTTGTTTGTGCCGGGATAGCTTTCTTTTAGTGTAGCGTGAACGTTAGTTAATTCATGGATGATATTTGAGACTCACAGTTGTACAAACATTATGAATTTCGACCCTGGACACTTTCTTCTGATAAACGTCCACTGCGGGACCACTTTTTCCCTAAATCACTTCTAACGAGACGCACGCATGCAGTCCTCTGGTTATGGCGAACACTTACTCTCCTTACCTCGGCCCACCCCTGGCATGTTACTCCGAAACTTCTCCACAATTGCTGCGCGGTTCTAGACAAAGGCCATCCAAGAGAAAATAGCTCATGTTTACTCAATATGTCATTATGCGAGCGATCATAATTCATTCGATTCACTGTTCCCTTGTCTTGGGTTCATCAGGCTATGCAGTTAGTTGAATCCGATTCGTCCTGTGTCCTTCCACGCGCCATCGATGGTCCGACAAGCGTCTTGGCTGAAAATCACGACTGCATCACTGGTGACCTACAGCCACTATCCCTGGCGAAATTTTTGAAATCGCTCACTCAATCAGACTCTACAGCGAAACCAATCAGGTAAATTTGCAACCCTTCCTTTATTGTGAACCTGTTTTTCCGTCATATTTGATCGGCATAACCCGTCTCATTTTCACAGGACATGACCAGTGCCACGGTGTTGGCGACAACTGTGGTGTGGTGTCATCCGCACAGCCCATGTAGTTGGCACATCCAAATGTTACGAAGCATACGCTGTCATTTCGCAAAAGTCCGGCACCTGTTCTCTCTAGTGCATACTTCTATGGTGTGCAGTCGGCTACTCTGATGTTTTTCAGTCGCATATTAGTCAACGCGATGCCGCTTCTTCTCCCTCACTGTACTTCCAAGTGGGACTTCGACGAGCCACTCAATGTTCACGATTTGTACTCGAGTACTACAATTGAAAAACACGTTTAAAACTAAGAGGGTGTTTTTCTTTACCAATCATGGTCTCATTGTGCACACTAACATGTAACTTATGTTGTGTGATCACTGTGCCTTTCACTTATTAGGTTGTTTTGTGCAGACAATTAAGACAGCATGGGTGTTTGAGCGTTAGCTCCTACTTGGCCAGGGCCACGAACGAACTCCGTCCTCATAACTTTTCGACAGCTACAGAACCAAGTGTTGACTATGCGTATTTATCACCATACCTACTTTCGTTAGCGTTGCATTCCATTGATTGTTCCTTTGGAATTCCAGTTATGCAGTACACTTATTCACACTGGTTTCTATCACTAATTTTGCGTAGTTCTCACAACCAAATGCGGAGATTGGGGCTCCGTTTGATAAATTACCAAACAAAACGTATATTTTTTTGGTAAGGTATTCATCCCGAGAGTTCACAAGCTACATAGCACAGCCTAGTCCGGAAAGGCACCAGAAGCCTTTCGCCCTATTGGAGCTCGTCAGTGGTGCTCATTCCCTCGGTCACCTAAGGGGGATCGGACCCATGACCGCTAGAGGCAGATGCCAACTAGCCAGCAGCTTAAGCCACTAAGCCATATGGGAAGTCAGCTGAACTATATAATTTGCAAACTAACTGGTATATAGCACCACCTATCTTCCACTGTCACTGACAGTGGCTAGCCTGCGAGGTGATGACGTCCTCTCACTAGACGCTATATCCATAGCATTTCGAAACTAGTAGAGGCCATTTATTTCATATGACTCCTAAGTAGCAGGATTTTAGGTGGTGGTGCCATATCCCTGTTAGTTTGCAAAGCATGTAACTCAGCCAAGGTCCCCCATAGCTCAGTGGCTGCTGGCTAGTTGGCATCTGCTTCTAGCAGTCATGGATTCGATTCCCATTTAGGGACCGAGAGAATGCACACCATTGACTCGCGCCGCTGACGAAGGAGTCCTCATCAATGTTGTTTATTTACACTTTTCTCAGGTGTTTAACATGGTCAATAACTTCGTTCCACTTATTACTGGCTCTTGGCGTACCCACTGTGTGTCTGGATTGCGACACGCAATCTCGATTGAGGTTACAGTTTGCTTTGAAGCAAACTCATACCACTTCGATAACTGCCTACGATATCAACCGTTCCCTGCCCACATGCTTGGAAGATTACCTACAAGATAGAACCATCAAGGTAAGAATAGCCAGCACTCACTCCGAAAACCTGTGCGTACCCAGTTGTGTACCGGAAGGATCCGTCATCGGCCCGCTACTGTTTCAGCTTACATAAATGACCTCCTGGAAAGCAATTTATCCCCGATACAGATATTTGCAGATGATGCTAAAATATGGAGAGCAATTTGCTCAGCACCCGGCCGTGCCCATACCCAGAACGCGTTAGACCAAACTAATGAATGTGCAGAAGGGAACCATCTCCCACTGAACTCTGCAAAGTGCCACCTGCTGACGTTGCATAGCAGCTTCAGCAGCACGTTTTGCAACAGGTGACTATTCAACGAGACTTAGGTATCATCGTACAAGAAAGTCTTGCCAATTTGCTCCAATGCTCAAAAGCAGCGAATGTGGCGAATTTAAACTTGAGGCTTTTGAGGTGAGCTCTCGACACCTTTAAGCGACAGCTAATACCACTGTTAATCAACACATATTTCCGTCCTCACTTTGAATATGCTGTTCAGACCTGTCACCCACCGTCAAAACGAGATATTTCTCTCTTAGCGAAGTCCCAAAGAAGAGCCACCATGGCAACACGTGGATCATCCGGTCTCAGTTACGAACTGCGCCTTCATTTACTCGGTGCGTTCTCCTCAGAATACCGATGGCTTCACGGAGATCTCGTTCTCCCATACCGTATACTAACTGAAAGCGAGCACCCATGTGGATCACTGCTGACCCTAGACCCTTCCAAACAATGCCGAGGCTACCACCTGAAACTAGTAACGCAACACTTCAGTTTGGATTATAGGAATTATTTTTACTCTCCTAGAATCTGTTCCCACTGCAATGCACTACCCACACATGTGGCGAACGCGCCAGACATGGCGACATTCGAAAGATTTCTAGACTTTCATTGCTAAACGCTACACAACAGTGTGTTGAAGTATGATATCTTTACTACTGATAAGTCACGTTCCACGTTGTAACATTTTGATTTTAATTTTCCCTTGCATTTTCTATCCTGTGGATTTTGTAGTTATGTTTTTTATCCCATCATACACTATTGAACCTAGCGCACCCAATTCCATGTCATGGTCCGTGTGACAAGAACTGCCCATTGAAGTGGATGTTTCTCTTGTGATCCGACACCTGAGGCTTTTTAAGGCTGCGCGTTCAGACGAACTTCCCCCAAAATAGTTCATGAACGGTGGCACGACAGTTGTTAATCAGCTAACATCCCCACTCCTGAAGATATAGCGATAAGAAATGGTACCCCCATCTTAGAGATAGTTGGTAATTGTCCCAATCTTCAAGAATATTTCTCATACTTCATGCGCCAATCACAGTGGGATCAGTTTGATATCAGCTGCCCCGCAGGCTAACCCCAACGCGGCAAACACAATACCGGAAGGAGCATGCTGGTTTTCAACCCGGTCGTGAATATGTGCATCAAATATTCACACTTCGTCAGGTCTTCAAACATCGTCATCCGTACAGCAGACGTGCCATTGTCGCTTTTCTGGACATTTGGACCACATTGGACTCAGTAAACCGACTTGCTTGCTAAAAAGTGAAGTTCCCGAAAACTGCTTTGGACACTATACCTCTGTACTTAAGGCAGGGTGAGGATCTACCGCAGGCTTTCTACACTCCTCCATGTCACCAGTAGTGTGCGAAAAGTATACCATGGTCCTTCGTTTCTCTTCAACTTTGCGATCGAAGACGCCCCCTTGGGAACTTTAGAAGGGCTGCAGAGTTTTGACATGAGCTCGCTCCAGCTGATCGCGAAACCGACGTAGATTGCGCTGACGACATCATCTTGCTCGCTGATGGGTCTCTTGGTATGCAAATGTTTCTTGACCGACTGGTGCTTGAAGCGTCTAGGTATGGTATGTTCTTTGCCTCCCCCAGTGTAATGTGCTGTTTCATGATTGGCAATCGCCCTTTCCCCAACTCACCATCGAATGCATACACCCCGAACACATTGACACGTGTGTCTACCTGGAGAGCTGCATCTCTGCCGAGGACACTATTGGAGAGGAATTATCCCTTCTTATGGCGATAGTCCGGTCAGCGTTTGCCAACTTGAGGCATTTGTGGCGTCCGCGCGACATTTCATTGTCGTTAAAGGTCAGGGTCTTTAGTGCTATTCTTCGCGGAGTACTGTTGTGTGAATGCGAATCCTGGCCGCGCTGTGTCGATGACGTATGTAGGCTTTCGGCTTTTAACAATAGATTTTTGTAGATCACCGATGTATGCTGGCAACTTAGAGTGCGCAGTGATGATGTCAGACACCGCGTCTTGGACAAGACAGGTTCCCTCCCTATGCCTGTTCGGCTACGCCAGTTGGGATTCATGCCTAATGAGCTTTTACCACTGTTCGTGCTGTACTGTTGTACGGATGCGAGACCTGGCCCATTCGTAAAAATGACTTGCGCAGGCTATCCGTCTTCGAGCACCGCTGTCTGCGGTCCACTGCCCGTGTGTGGTGGCAGCACCACGTAAGCAATGTGGAAGTTAGACAGCGTGTCTTGGGACGTGGAAGCCACTCGCTCGAGGAGCTCATCTCACTGCATCAACTGCGGTGGTTGGGACACGTATTGCGCATGCCTGTCCAGCGTTACCCCCGTCGTGCGTTGTTTGCACTTGCTGGACAGGGCTGAAGAGACGGTCTGGTGGACAGCCTACAACATGGAGAAGCCGCATGAAAAAGTTAACGAAACAATTGGCCTCGGCCGGTTGTTGTCGACTACCTGGTTGGGGTCCGAGAGATGAGGATACTTGCTGGTTGAAAACCTTGGAAGTTATGGCTCAAGATCGATGTCAATGGCGGACGTGTGCATCAGTGTGTTGCGGTGTCCCTTCTTCCTCCCCCTAAAAAAGAACAAACTGAAAAAAAATTCAAAATCTGTGAGTGGTAAACTTGACAAAAAAAGCATTTCTTGTTGCTCTTTTCTTATTATTCATATTGTTTTCCTATTCAGCCATGATTCCGATGGCACAATATCTGTACCACAGGTTGTGTATAATATATAATATATATCCACTCGCTGAACCGCATTGGAAGAGGACGTATGGAGGGCAGCCGACTGCTTTGCGACAAGGCATGAAATCAAGGATATCTTGCCCCCGTGCGTCTTCCTGGACAAAGAATGCCAGTGGTTTACAATGCTCAAAACAACGGCGCCATATCGGATACAGTGGGAGCAATACACACAAGTTTGTGGAGATTCGGGATTTTAAAATCATTAACCTTTAAAAAGAAAAGAAGCAAACTGGTGTTTATGTAAAATGACCAAATATTGATGTGCTTTGTTTCTCTTCAGTACTAGTCTTTTTTCCTAGTGGTGTACTTTTAACTCCTTATTCCTTGATTCTATCTCCATGGTTTCGAATGACTCTATCTATTCCTATATAATGATGTCAATGCAGGTGCTGCGCCAGCATTCTGGACCCGCAATAGGATGCCCTTTGGCTGGAGCCCTCTGACTCGATGCGAACATGTATATTGAAAACTTCTGATATATAGGTTGAAGCAACTGTTGGTGTTTTCGACTACGCATCCTGCTACTAGCTGATATTATTACTTTCATCGCGGATCTGTTTGCGCGTTCACTCCATCATATACAACGCTGTCATGCAATTGGATAAGAAACGAAGACCCCCTTGGATTCTCCGGGTAGCCGACTGAAACTTTCGAAATAGAGGCGAAAATTAGTAGCGCCGCTTATTATGGTGGTGGTGGTCGAACTGTTCACTGTTCTTGGCAATTTTGTTGCAATAAGTTTGGCAAGCTTAGCGAACAGTTCGGCTGCCGTCATTCGAATATGTGCTGAACTGTAGTGGAATCGCACGCAAGTACATCTCTCTCTACTGGAACACACTGGAGCAGACTGCCTACAACATATATTTGGTTCAACGTAAATGACATCACATATGTTATCTTAACATGGTTTCTTTGTTATTTGTATGTACGTGCTCGATGAGTATGCACAGAATGACAGTGTCATCTCATAACATTCGTCTTCAGATATACTTATTTGGAATTATAACGGGAAATTCATGTTCCAGACATCATAAATGTCAGAAGTCCTGTAATTAACTTTATATAAAACGTGGATCCCACGGTCTGTTACTAAGGTTCCATCGTGTGTATCTAGGAACCGCATATCAATTTCAAAAGACTGCAGAGTAGACTGACACTGACTGTAATCTAAGCCGATAGAGAGCGAAAAGAGATGTTGAACATTTGTAAAAAAATTGTGAATTTTATTTTGTTATTTGTTTCCTTTCAGCTAGCTTGGTGCTTGAGGCTTTTCTAACGAGCAGAACGAGAGGATATATGTAATGTGTTACCCTTAGGCTTTGTTGGTGGATAGCAATTCTTGGCGTCAAGTTTGGGAGATGAATTCTATACGAGAGTCCTTTCCTCGAGCTTTTGTCGAGGACGCCTGCGTTCTTTTTGCCATGGATTTATGCCGCTTGGGTTCGGTCCATATTCTGAGCTTGCGCTCGAGTTCAGAACATTCTCTCTGCATTATCGATACAGTACTCTAGTGGCACTGTGCCCCCTTATTTTGGAGACTGCTATCATCGAATAAGCCACTTTTTTCTTGTCGGCGTTAACATTTTTGTGTATGCATTTTTCATTGACAGTCGATTTCTCCATCTTCCGTTCATTACGAAGTGTGCTGTCTGATGATGCACTGTTGACAACAATGTCTTTTTGTTTTACATTCAGTTCTATCCTCCTTACTTCAGCTGAGACGATTATCCACGGACTGTGGAGCGAATGGAGTCCAGAATATTGGACAGTGAGTGTTACTCATGACAGTCTCATGTACGCTGCATGCAAATACTGGCGGTCCCCATACATTAAAACTTTATCGTGACATGTAGCACTTCTGCGCTACCTGAATGCAAACTACATTGAGGGACCCTGTTCAGTAAAGAAACATCTGCACTGAGCCAACCTCAGGCTTTTAGTTACTTGAGGGTAGAGAGAGAATGAGCATAAACAAGAAAATCAATCGGTACATTTCCCCTATAGGCGATATACGAACATGATGTGTGACCGATCATTTGTACAGAAAATCGATGTTTCCACGATGTAATTAGGCATGAGTGATTTTCGGTTCACGAATTCTCTCAACCTTGCCCATTCAACGATATTGGCATATTACTGGCTTTGTAAGTCCTCAGTGGTCCGATTGCTTGCAGCTTAATTAATTTAGCACGATTAATTGTGGCTCTGTTTTTCAAGTATTTGCACAGCTAACTCCGGGGACAGTTAATGATGAAAGGGAACAATACGTGTTACAAGCCAAAGCCTCTTTTTGCATGAGCAACTATGGAGGCCCAATAAGCTGTTTTTGAGCTTCTAGTGGTTCATATGTTGTTTCGACTAGATTCAACTGATGTATCTGTAGATCGCTTGGAGTCAAATGGCTAACTCCTTCGGTATCGTGAGGAATGTCTCAAGTTGTTCTGAATGTAACCACGTTGTGAGGGTAGGGAGTAGCCCCCATTACAAGTGGGGTGCATAGCGTTTTCCTTCATTTCAACTTCGGCTGTCTGTGGAAACCCACTTATTATGAATAAGCTCGAATGTTGAGCAGGAACATTTTTCTTCATTCATCACAGCCAATAGGGATTTTCTCGGGGAGGACGACAACGAGCATGCCTACTCACGTTTGGAACCTACCCCTTCATCAATTTAGCCACTACTACTTTCACACTTTCCAAAGATATAATATTTATTTTCTTATTGGTCTGTGAATGATGACACGGTATTCCAAAGTAGGTAGTACTATTATTTTGGATAGTTCATATCGTGTTTTAAGCGTGCAAAATTTCTGTTAATGTGGCTTCATAAGTGTCTAGTCTTTGCGATTCTATGAAATTATCTTCAGGTCATGTATGATTCCCATGTTTCGTCGATCCCAGAAATAAAATCAAAAGCGGTAGTCAAAAAGCGCACCATTGTTTTCGATTACTGCTTTGCAGAGATATCATATCCGCCCTACCGCAAGTAGCCTGAAACCTCACGCCCTTAACCTTATCGATTCAACCAAAATGCGAATGACGGGAACTGAGTGACATATTGCGCAAAGATAATCCGCAACGGATTTGCTCCACGGTGATGAACGTGTCCGTTTTCTCGAGTATGTGAGAAGTTTAACCTCCAAGCTTTTGGATAAGAAAAGGCACGCGTTGCAGAAAACACTGGGTGGGGCAATTTGTCAAACTAACTTCCCCACCAATTCGGGACGATATGTACACATCCTGTCCAGTGTACAGTTAGACAGGCTTCCACGAAAGAGGAATAACCGTCCAGTTTGAACAACTCAATAACCAGACCAGAGACTTTGCTGCCAGATCTGAAGCAAATCTCGAGTAATTCAAATCAGCTTCAGTCAACGTTCGTTTCCTATATCGAAGATATCACATAGTCTACTACGGGTTGGTAACAAAAACACATTCATGCCGTCCGGGAACTTCAACACAAAGAAGACCTTATTATAACCGAGCCGGACAAAGGATCGGGAACCGTACTGATGAATCGGAATGAGTGCGTAAACAACATGTAAATTATTCTCTTAGTTACTTCACGATTTATCAAAGCAAAAAGCAGGACCACAAGGGAGTACACAGAAATGCAGCTAAACAGCTATCTAAAAATGCTAGTGCTTGAAGTATCGTATGAACAACAGGCCTAGGAGCTCCACCATTCCCCGTCTTTATGGCCTTCCGAAAACTCGTGAAGCAGGCACACCACTGAGGACTATAATAGGCATGAAAATTCACCGTATCATAACATCGTACGGTGGCTAACAAAATACTGATCTCATCAGAAAAATTATTGTACCTCACCGCTTAACCGATATGTTTCAGTTTGCCAAGTAGGTTCAAAACATGAATATCCGAGATTTTAGCATGTTTTCCTTGGATGTGTGAGACTGCTTGCTACTCGCGGAGGCGGTACGCATGGGACTAACAAGACCCGACCTGTGCGTACAGAATAAAAGGATACAATCTTTACAACTGCCATGTCCTGTCACCGGAAAGCTTGGATTCGATCCACGTCAGCGAATCCACATTGCTTTTGTGCATGTGATCATCCATCTGGAACTGTGATCTCACTTTAACTAATTCGGTCAACTATTTGTTTGCAGAAACGAATGATAGGCAACAGCACTGTCATGTTTATTACCGTAGACGCCTGCTGAAGCGGTAGTCGAAAACAGTTGTTTGCTTTTCGTCTGCCGTTTTTGATTTTCGCCGGAGCTGATCGAATTGCAATATCTGATTCCCAAATCCGGAACTTAATCAGCATTTGGTACAAGCGTGCTACCGGCGTGATGATGTATTCCAAGATGCTCTACCCGAACCCAAGTATTTGTGACGTTTTGCTGCTAATTTCACTAGCTATCTTTCATAAGATGCATTCGATGGAGATAATTCCTCATGTATGTTTTTCAGGCATAATTATAACTCTGTTGGTAGAAATTGGTACACAAACGTGACTAAACGTTAAACCGACATTTGTGAAATTAATTTTCCATAACTTTCATCAAACAAGTACAGCTACGGAGTGCACACTCTTCAGCAGTATATGTTATTTCTAACACAGCAACTATTTCAGGGTTTTGCTTTGTCCGACGAGATGTGAAAATTTGGAATCCTATAGCAGTCATTGCCAACTGAAGTCCACTGCATTGGATCAATATGCCCAAGATCAACTCGTCGTCCCTACGGCCATGGCAGGATGAGGTTTTGCTCCTGCACCCGCTATTGACGCAGTTCAGGCTGCAGCCCCCTTCGTGGCAATGACTCCAGTCGTTGCCTGTAGGAGCTTTCCAGATCTTTTTGGGTTACCTTTCAATATGACATGAACTAATTTCAAAGCGCTTCATTTATATCTGGTCTACTCTTTAGTAGGTATTCAAGAATGCGGCCGTGGACATTCTTAGGTGCGCCATCATCATCAATATACACGTTAGCTGCAGGTGGAAAACAGCTCAGCTTTTGTGCCGCAATGCAAAAGACAAGAATTAGAAAAAATAACAAGGATACGCCGGCTGAGTCCGCAGTAACGGATGGACATCGTTCCGGATAGCTAACAACTGGCTATCTTGCAGCGAAAAGAGTTATATTATACCTAACGAATGAGATCGTGATTGGAGGGAAAGGCTAAGCAGGAGCGTGATGGACAAAAAAACTCACAGCCCAAACGCTAATGGGGCCGGCTCCTAGCCATATCAGCAAATGTGTCCAACCAAACGTGTTCATCGTCCTTTTGACCCAAGCCAGGCAGTCGGGACGCACCAACCGACGCCAACTTCGAAGTGAGGGTTTTCTTTTCTCTCGAGTAAGTCATCGTCTGACCTCCCCTCCTCTTCTAACCACACCTCCGGGCGAGCAAACCATGTACCTCGCGGGAGTCGGTGTGCTGGCATTCGCAACACGTGGCCCAGCCATCGGATTCTGGTGCGTGACATAATGGTGCTGAGCGGTTCACTAGCTCTTCCTGCACCAAATACCCGACGCCAAACACGCTAATTGCTCACGCGATGCTCCCACTAGACATGACCTAAGCTGCGAAGGCAGCGATGATCGAACGTCTATCGACCTGATGGGCCAGGTTTCACAACCGTATAAGAGGGTTGAACGGACGATTGCGTTATAAACTCTGCTTTTCAGGACGAGAGTGTTGTTGCGTCTGCACCACTGGTGACGGAGAGTGGCAAAAGCACCTCGAACTTTTGCTCTACGGCTAGTAATCTCAGCTACGATCCCATGGGCGCTAATATTACTGCCCAGGTACTTGAATTCCTGAACGACTTCTAGCTCCTCACCATCAAGGGTCAGTGCAGGAGTGGGTCCTTGCCAATCTTGGAGAATAACTTTGCATTTCGATAGATCAAAGCATAGTCCAAAACGATTGATAGCCAGTGCTAATCAGTCCAGCGCAGCATGTCACGTTGGGGCGCTGTCACATGTGAGGGCAATGTCGTCCGCATACTCCGTCAAAAAGTCGCTCACCGGGAACTAGGTCTATACCTTCGAGGTCTTGTCCAGCGAACACTTTTCATGACTCAATCAACAGCGAAGTTAAAGAGCAAAGGTGACATCGGGCAACCTTGTCTCACACCTCTGAAGGTATTGAAAGGCGGCGAAAGTTTGCCATAAACCCTCACTCTGCCCGAACTATGCGCGTAGAGCGCTTTGATAATGTTTACATATTTATCGGGCACACCTTTTCTCAGCAGACAGTCTCAAATGGCACATCGATCCACCGAATCGAAGGCACCTTTGATGTCGAGAAACACTACAACCGTGGGTCGCCAATAAACATGGCGGTGCTCTGACAATTAACGAAAAGCGAAAATATGGTCGGTGCAACCTCGATTTCGAGGAAATTCAACTTGCTCCTTGCGGGTCTGACTTTCATGAGCGCCAGTCAGTCTGTGGAGAACAACAGAGACAAGCAACTTGGAAGCAATTGAGATATATATGTATGTATATGGTTGGCGACATCCGGTTTCGGATATGCCTGTCACTGTGTCCAGCCACAGGACGCCTGCGCCTACAGAGGGACTATGGGTGGCTTGCGCTGCACCACTCACATTTCCAATCGCACACCCCATATCCAGTGTAAGCCCGACGGAATAAGACCGGGAGGCATGTGGATGGGAGCCACGTTTCATCAACGGAGCCGGCCCACACTCCTTCACAGGCAAACACAAGCACGCTGTAGTTGGGAATCAAGCGCACACAAGGCAGTTGCTGGACCGTAGTCCGCTCCACACTG